TACTTACAAAACTATTTTCAGTGTTGAAAGTGACGCACAGGGGGCACAAAACTATAATCTACTATAATTGATTATCAGTTTAATAGTTGGGTTAATCTGATTATTTCTCATGATATGATTATGATACAGACACTATGACTAAGACTAACCAACACCTTAAAGTAGACTTTGGAAGTATTTAAGCCAGCACATCTAACAGCTGCAACCTCACAGCCCAACACCTAAACAAGCTAAAAGCCTTGCCTTGTCCCTGTGTGGCTTTTTCTCAGGCCTTCTTGGTCAATTCATTTCGGTGTCTTATCTTAGGCAAAGTGGAGGGAAGCTGTTTCACTATTTCGCTTGGGACCAAGTGACCCGAAACTCATTGGCCGTGACTAGACAACTAAAAGCTCACTATGCTATTGGAGACTCTGGAGCAAAACACTTCAAAAGCCTCTACATCCCTACAAGAAAAATCCCATGATCAAGATGCTGCAGGCCCCTTCCGCTCTTGTTTATTCAGTGGATAGTGATATACGCACCCTTTGAAGCAGTTCGAAAACTTGGATTTAAAAAAATAAACTGAGTTATAGCTGCTTCATAATCATACCCAGCTGGTTTTGGAATACTACAGTACCAGCCACTATTTCACCTGGTCCACAAACCCCCTTTTCAAGCATATAGTGACAAGAACAACATGCACACTTAGCCTACAGTAATTAGAAGCTCAATTAACAGGTTTAGTTTGACAGAAAACGTATTTATCTTAGGGTCACTGTCACCCCATGTAAGGGAATCCGGAATCTGCTAAATTTTTCTCTTGGAATCTGGAATAAAGGTCAAGGACTCTGGATTCCACTTATAATAACTGGAATCCGGAATCCAAGTTTCACTGACAAAGAATCCAGAATGCAGTATCCATGGCGCAGAATTGAGAATCCAAGACTGTCAGATTTCCTTGCATGGGCTGATCGCTGTTTTCAACTTCTGATAAAATAAAAGACATCATGTGCTTTCATTATTTTATTTTGCAACTAGAAAGAAATCCCACAAGCTTCAATACATTAATATGCAAGTTTTTCATTTCTGAGAAAAGGAAACAGTTTATTTTTCCGATGTCTCTGTATTTAGCTGTATTTTAGTGCCAATGAAATGAGCAAATAATAAATTATCATTGTTGTGACACTAAAAACTGAATAAATGAAAAGTCAGGATTAAAAATATCAAAGGATAGCGACACTATGTTTGGCTTCAATGTTTAGTTTTGTTTCGACATCTGCCTCTCTCGCTCCTCATCCCCCTTCAAAAACACAGTGGAAAAAAATAAAAGAAGGCCAGGTTACGCCCATGTTACGATCAAATGAAAAAAAATGTTTCACTAGACAAAAAACTGCTGAGACAAAGCGCAGATTATGCAAGATTTCCGTATAACCCCATACATTAATAATATTGTGCATACAGCTTTTGTTCAAAGAAAACAAAAGGCAGAACAATACTAAACCTTTACAAACGGACAGCTAAATTTATTGATGAGCTGAAGCCTTGCAAGTATTCTTTGACAAATCGGGAATTAAAGAAAAAAAATCTTTAGTAATTTAGAACACACAAACCCAATAGCACGAGCAAAAGAAATACCTCTACGCGTTACAATATTCCCAGCGATTACCATTTCAGATATCACTATCTTCGAATCTTTGCCTTCCAACGGTACAGTCACAGTTTTCCGAACAATCAGACCTGAATTCTGTCCACCTTTTAGGTCTCAAACACTGAAGAAAGCACTTCTAAGCCTCTACGAAGCCCTCAAAGGGTAACCATCTTTGTTTTGGAAGGAATAAACCAATGAGAGCGCACGTATGAACGAGTAATGGAATGCACCAATCAGCGATCGTTTTAGTTCGCTGGGTGCCAGGGTCTTCTCTCATACCGCCGCCATATTGGAAAGCGAGAAGACCCTGGGGACGAGGTTGCAGGAATTGTTTCTGTTCACCAATATGGCCGGCGTGACGTCATATGAAAACGATTTATAGTTTAAATTTTGCTTACGACCTTTTCCATGTACGAAATATAGATAAAATCAACAAACCACCGAAAATTTTGATTTAGGTGTAGGAATATGTACGATGTAAGATCAACATTTTCATTTTGTTGTTGTGTTGTTTTGTGTTTTAAGGTTATTTGTCAATGCTCTTGTTACAGATCAACGCTGTACACATTTGCATTTGTCAACAGCGTTTGCGCTTCCCAAACCCACATATTCGTGGATATTGCTATGTCATTTAACGTTGAGGTACGAGCTTAAAACGTAGCAAAGAAAGCAGATGACAACGCTACTGAACAAAACTCCCCCCATATAAGTGAGACTTTCAAGACACTAAAAGGCAATTTGACTGACTTGTTCAGTTTTTTATTAAGTAATCAAACATTGATCATGATTACCTTACCCAATCATTACATATCTGCTAAGACTCTGCTAACACCCTTATGTTTTAAAACGTCCAGATAATCACATGACTCGTGGTTACTGCTGGGCTTTTGGCACTTCTTCAATGAAGATACGACTCAGTGAATGCCAACCAGTCTGAGCGTCAGCAAGCTTATGGCCTGAGACGCACTTTCCAACCCAGAATCCCACTCTCACCTGTCCTTTCTGAATGTTATTGCAGTGACCTTCAATGTGGCGGTGAAGATGAGGATTGTGGTTTCGGCCAGTTGCCAAGTAGAATGCACCGTCAATAGTTCCTGGAGAGCTGCACTCGGCTCCATTGAAGGTGAAATACCAGCGACCACAACAATTGTCACATAAGGCATACCTGAGGTTACCAGCATAGTAGACATGGAGGGAAGAGCCCGCGTATTTCTTTACAAAGTCACAGTTCTGAAGAACATATAAAGAAAGTAAACAGCATCTGTGTACTATGACAATCAATCTTTTTAGTGAAAACTACTTGGTGTGAACTAGTAGAATATAATCATTGCCAGAAATTTCGAATCGACATGCGCGGTGAGAGGTGTAACCTGTGAACGGCAGACGTTTCTCCTCGCTTTTCGCCGCTGAGGGACGTTTCGCGAAGAGGAACTTCTGCGACTCAACGACAGAAATTCCATACTGATGAAGTAAATCGATATTTACTAGTTAATAAATCCGGTAGTCATGGGGTTCCAAATGCAAATTTGTTCGATTTTACGTTTGTCCTGGTCGATTTTAAAAAACTGTTGTGTTCAGCTGCGAATGAGCTCCAGCACTGAAAACTCAAAGGCTACTTCTAGAAAAGACAAATATTGACTGTTTTGTTAGAGATTCATCGCTTTTACATTTGACCTTTGCCGCCTTTTGTCTTTTGTCTGTCATTTGTCAACAATAGCTAGAACAATGAAACTACTCCGTCGACCAATTAGCGCTTCTGAGCGGATTCCGGACAGATTTTGCGTCATCAGTATGGAATTTCCGTCGCTGAGTCGCAGACGTTCCTCCTCGCGAAACGTCACTCAGCGGCGATGAGCGAGGAGAAATGCCTGCCGTTCGCAGGCTATGAGAGGTGACACCTTCAGACACTCAGAAAATATCAACTAAAGGCAATTTTCATTACAGAGAAATAACTAAGAAGAGATCAAAAATCGAAAAAAAACTGCCCTAGAGGCATTCGTATCCGCCGACACCCTATCAATTCTATTATATTTTGTTTAACTAAATGAATCTGCATTTAAAAGTACCTTGTAAGTTTTGTCCGTTTCGGTTTTAAAGTAAACAGATTTGCAAATTGACCGTAAAGGATTTGCATGGCAGTGTCGGCGAATACAACGCTAAACAGAGCCCACTGCAGTAACTGTTAAAGTGTTCCAGTTCTGGTCCGAGTTCGTCGTATACAACGGCCTCTGATTGTTTCTGGGAGTTGAAGATACTTACTTTCGAAAACCAGTCACATTTTGCAATTGCCGATTAAATCTGTTTTCGGTTTTAACTTTGAAAACGCCGTAAATTTCAGTATGGACTGCACGGCTAAATTTCCTGATATTCATCCAAAACCTCTCGTTCGAGAGATGATTTTTTGCATTTTGAACACATTTCAAAACAATTGACAGTAGTTTCGTTCAGCGACCAGTTTTTGACTGTAAATACTTTCTTGTGTGTGTATCGTGACAATGAGCCCGCACAAGGCTGGATTTGACAGCAGCTTAAATCATTAAGAAACACATTCATGTAATTAGCACGAAAACCTTGGTTCGAGATTTCTGGCCAGCGTCATCTGTTTCTTCTTAAAAAGACAATAGCTGTGGTCACACTACGGACTTTTACCTAGGCAAAACCGATTTACCTAAGGCAAATTCATCAAAAAATTCCCACGGTAAATTCATCTCGGGTTTTGTTTTACCTCGGTAAAAAATTCTGGGAAAGTCACACTACTGATATCGGCTCCAAAGGTTTTCACGGACAGTTGAATTTTTTGGAACGTAAATTCAAAGAGGCAAGACGCGCAGGGATCTAGCGGATCAAAGAGACGTTTTTTTTTTCTTTTATCTCGCTGTATTTCTTAGGCTAATTCAACGTGCAAGGTGAAGACAGGCGAAAATGTAGACGACTCGTGCCCCCAAATTTCTTTCACCGCGTGAGCTATGTCCGGTTCTGTCATCAAGGCCTTCGCCGATGAGCGTCTATTGGCTAGCAACCTCGGTATTTCATTTTTCCCTAGCTATCGCTTTGGGGTAGCTGTCAAGGGAAAGTCTATTGTTCTCGAGACATATCAAAGCCCCAGACGATAAAATTCCCCGAGGTAAGTTACCTAGGGAAAAATCGGTCACACTTAAAAAATCAAGTTTCCCTAGGTAACTGTCAACAATTCGAGTTTACCTAGGTAAAAAGTCTGTAGTGTGTCGACAGCTAACAGAACTGTCATATTAATGCGACAAGATTTCCTTCCGGACCGCGCCCGCCGATCGACGGAGATTTGTTGTTTACATTCTCAAGTAATATTTTAGACTTTCGAAGAAGTATTTCGTTCTATTTAAAAATTGGCTTGCGGCACGAAGACTTACCGCGATTTTGTCGTAGCTCGTCCACCTCGCGACAAGAAAAGCTCGTTCAGCTCGCTTTTAAAACAGATTTTCTGCTGTGAAACTCGTATCAGAGGTCAATTTGTGACAAGTCAAATCCAGTAATATTTGCTCGCGTTCTAGCCTCAAAAGGTCGCAAGATATGAATGACAATGCAATCTCAACGCGATGAATTAGCATCGCAAAGGTTAGTCAAACATTATATTATGCTTTCCTTAAACATGTTAGTGACAAGTAGTGCCTGTTTGTTTGATTTGTTCGCCGTAGGGAGGTTTATTTTAAAGTTACTAACACGTCGTTGCACAATGTTGTGCGTCACATCCATGTCTCAATGGTTTCTTTCTTACATGGTCTTTATTGTTGCTATTCCATTTCTGGGTATTCCTTTCACGATTATCTGAGCTTATGTGGTCAGCTGGCGGGAGAAATAAGCCTTTAACTGTCATTGAAGCGTTTCCCTTCTCTTGGGCTTCCGGCCAACGGCAATGAAAGTAACGCGTTATTATCCCGATTTCGCCCAAATCGAAATTTAAGGTGAACAATATATCATTGATCTGTAATTCTGAGAAGTTGTAGTGTAGTATCAAACTTGGTCAAGCGCAATGCAAACGGATTTTTCAAGGTTCTGTTACCCTTTTCGTATCTTTTGAATTCGCGACATCCTGTCAGAAAATCAAAGTTTGGTACATGCGCAGTAACGGGATACTGTTCCTTTAATTATAGTGATAAAGTGACGTTGCACACTTACATATATCAGTCCTGAATTTTTTGTGTCCACTCTTTTCCAAGTGCACTCCTTCCAGTTCATGTGTGAAGCCAGTCGTGCCGTTCCACTGCCGCCTTTGTCCCCTTGCTGTCCTTTTTGTCCGGCGGATCCCTGGATCCCGGTCTCTCCCTTTGCTCCTTTCTTTCCATCAGCACCACGTGGTCCTTGGGTCCCAGTTTTCCCCGGGCTACCCAGGACTCCTTTGGCTCCATCTCGACCAGGTGCCCCAGGGGCTCCTGGGACACATGTCATGTATGTCCACATCCCGGTTTGTCCACCATTATTACAATATGGACAAGATTGAACAGGCTGCAAAAAAAACAGAAAATTTAATGACAAATTCTAGTAGCCTTGGACCATTTTGTCTGTCGTTTAGCGTTTCAATCCATGTGAGGAAGTGCTTTTCGTTAATTGCAAGTGTTTATTTTGGGTTTCTTATATGAACGCGCGTAAATTGTGATTAAAGAACATGATTCATTTTTCAGTAAAGAAGATATGTTATAGTATTTACCACGTTGGTAATGATGTTACTTTTGATTGTTTTAAACGTAAAAATGTTCTTTCTCTATAGCGTTCGATTGCACAAGTAATCATACCATCTTAATTTTTGAATGCATTTTGAGCATTTCTTAATCAACCTGCAGACTGATTTAGTAAAATTAACACATGATACGCTTTTCCTAGTTTCTCCATGAATTAACATCAACTGTATTAAAAAGTGTGTAGTGACCATATGTATGAATGCAGTTACCTTGGTGTCTGATTGCTTGTTGTTCTGAGCAGAGCAGAAAGCGGCCATGAGCGATAAAATCAGTACAAACAACATGGTGGTCATTTTAACTCCTGATCGCATCATCAAGGTCCTCTAGCGTTGTGCACTATACGATTGATCATAGTATGAAATATTCTGGTTAGTTCAACTAAAATTACAATAATAAGATTAACGATATATTTAATACTTAAGATATGCCTTGGAAAAATGAGCGGCTTGAATGCTATGGAGTCTTGAGGACTGTTACAGCGTCTCTTGAACTTCACTCTTACCTTCGTTTCACAATTGCAATGCCAACTGATAGCAATGATTATCATAGGTTCTTAACTTTTCGTGTTTTATAATCACGTTTTAAAGCAATCATGCCCCAATTATTACGTTTCACGTGTAAAAAACGTCGAGCATTTTGACTGGTTCTTTTTGCTTAACATGAGGAAATTCGTGTTTTGTATTTTTCAGTAACTGAGTTCCTGTGCAGATCATGCTTTTGTTCCATGGTCGCAAATCTATACCAGCCACAACATCTTTTATAATATTTATTAATATTTTATTTCGTGTAGGATCTATCTCTTGGTATAGCTCCATTTTGCCCTTTACCCGCTGCGATCTTTTGATTCGGTGTTGTGGCTTTACGAGGATGCCTGTCAGCTTATCAACTTTTTGTGTAGTGGGTAAAAAATTAAACTGAGGACAGTTGGCAAGACTGAGTCTTAGCATAATCTGTCGTTGTTTAGATTAGGATTTTTTTGCGCTATATTACTGAAAAGCCAACAGAAGTACAATTTTCTTTGTTCATTTTTCTATCCAGAATAAAGCACAGAATTTACGCATATCCAAATTCGAAAATTTCTCTTTGCTGAAGTCAACACAACACTATATCCAAATAAGACATTTTGTAGTTGTTTTATACTGTATTTACTGCATGTTGTTTGATATAGAGGAGGGTAAACAGGAATCAAGCTAGTTTTATACCATCATTGGACACCTGAAAACCCTTTCTTTTTGTACCATGATAAATGATTGTTAAATTGTACTTACTGACATTTTACCTTAAATCGTTCCTTGTATTATATTGAAGAGTAATTCCTACTCTGATCCGTGTACTTGGAATATGTTTAAGAAAAAACAGACATTACAATGGGCCGAACGAGATATGAGCACGCGTGGCATATATTTGAAATATCTTGTTTGCCATATGTTTTCATTCCTCAACTGGTGATCTGTCTTCATGAAAGTTATGAGAACTAGGAAAAAGAAGAAATAAAGAAACATTGAATCATAAAGCATAATTTAAATAACGCTCGAGATTGAAAAAAAGAAAGCTTCGAACACTGTGCATCCTAACACTCTGCTAAGGATTGAATCATAGAATTTCCTTGTTTGAAAAACAAGTTTCTCGTTTAAACATGCTGCCTCACTAAACAGCCTACATATGTATTCTAATTTCAATTAAACAATTCCATTCGCTTGCGGAAACATTAGGTTGCTAAGTAATCAATGCGCCCAATGAAAGGCCTCTAGTCTTTGCAAGATTTTTGTACTACTCATAGTACACATTTGTTTGTTACAACTCATTGTAACCAACGGATCACAACTTTAACTAGAAATACATGATGTTGTTCTTGGATTTTTTATATATAACCCAAGGTATAACTGTACAATTGAAAGAAAACTTGCAGTCTGAGATACTGCGAGATGATAACACACCGTAATTTTTAGGGAGTTATTATAACTCCAAAAATGGACAACCCCTTTTTGGGGGTTACTTTACCTCCTAATTTAACTCCGAATTTGGGGTCATTTTTACTCCTAAAAAGGAGTTCTTTTTACTCCCAGTCTGGAGTTAAAATAACTCCGAAATGGGGTTACTTTTACTCCTTACATGGGTTGTTTTTACTCTTTTTGGAGTTAATTTAACTCTGAAAGTGGAGTAAAAATTTTAGGTACAGGATAACTCCTTTTTTGGGGTTATTTCAACTCCTCAATATCTGGGGTCACTTTTACTCCTGAAAAAGAGTTCTTTAAACTCCTTTTTGGAGTTAAAATAACTCCCCAAAAAATAACTCCAATTTAAGGAGTTAAATTAACCCCACTAGAGGAGTTATTATAACTCCTTGAAAATTACTGAGTGCACTTAGGGAAATTACTTCCCTAAACTGACCTCGAATTCAAGGAGTGGTACATTATTGATCCTCACAATTTCAAACTCTCCTTCCGTCCTAGTGGCCATTGTCCATTATCGTCAATTCTAATTCCAACCAGTAAATAATCTCAGTGGAACCAGTTAGCTTTATAGGTCTTACACAGTAGCTCGATGATTCATCATTGTGGCGAGTAGCAGTTCGGCTCACAAAATCTGTACGAAGAGAGTGATGTTAACTGAACAATTATTTGTTAAACATATTCATTAAGTTTCCTTTTTAAGTAAGCGGTAAATGATTTGAGAAAGTAGATTTTGGTTTTGTAGCTTGTCGAGCTGTAAAAATGAATGAAGTTTACTTTCAAATCGATGTATTACTCAACACGTCACTTGCTTTTGATGTCGCTGTGTTGAACACCATTTTTTATTACTTTTTTATTGGTCGTGTTAATCAGTTGTTGTAGATATCAATTTTGTTTAAATTCACTAAATTTATCATTGACGACCACCATCTTACCGTTGGTCTGATTATTAATACGCTTGGTTTTGTTGGTCAGAGTTAATCTTTTAAAGCTAATTTCTGACTTACGTTCGAATAAACGCCTGACGGCGTTGATTGTCTACTTACCCTGACTAGTCCTCGATGTTTGCAAACTGTTTAATTTAGCCTAACTTGTAAACCTCTACTGTCCAAAGTCATACATGTATCTAGCCAACTAAAATTGAACAAAATTTGAGGAAAGGATCATCCACTAGCTAGAGTAGATATACATGCTACTAATACATGTAAGATGAGATGATTCCAAAGCACTGTTCTTTAATAAGTGATGAAAAGTCTTAATTTCATGGACTGTTCTCCTATCCTCCGAAAATCCAAGCTTCGCTTGAACTCACTGCCGCCGCCCGCAACAACCATACTGCAAGAGAGCATGTTGTCTTGGCATACTGTTAGCAGAATTATTCTTGGGAAGATTTGTGCAATGGATGTATAGCTAGTACTGTTAATTTATTGCTTACCGTTTGAAATCATGAATGAAAGCCTTAATTTAGTTTTGGATTTGGGAAATGACTTAATTCACTCAGTTGCTCAGTTTCAGTTAGCATTGAAATAGCATTTCACTCGTTTGATATTAAAGCTTACGATTTTTTCTACAGCTGATCAATTTTGAGAGCTTTAGCACAACGATAAATCTCTGTACTTTCTTCGAGAAAATTTCAACAAAGTTAGTTTTGGCGCAAAGTCACCAATGAGTCTCCGGATTTTGAGACTTATAGTGTGGATATTATGTTTGAAGTTGTATAGCCTCAAAAATAATGAGTTTGAAAATTGCTTAGTAAATTCATTCTTAACAATTACTGAAATATCTAGAAAATTTCATCAGTGTATACTGATTTCGAGCTGTGAGAGTGTTTTCACGGGTAAACTGATTTGAAACCGTGACGTGGAGGCGAAAATTTGCTGTAATTTTATGCTTCCAAATTTGGCGAGTACTGAAACCAGAACAATTTTGGAAATCGCCTTGGGATCACATTCCACGAAACATCGAATATTCACAGAAGATTTACTGAGTTATGTATTGAAACTCTTAGCTTTTTTAACCGTTAGTAACAATATTAACGGGAGTTTGGTTAACGTATTAGCGACCAAACCAGAAAAACTTAACCGATTGGACATAAATATAAAAACATTTTGCAGTTCACCCCAAATGGTAAGCAAATAAATGATAATTTGAATTTCGGTTTACGCTATTTTGTTGAATAAAATTAGAACGGTAATGATAATAAAGGTATCAGTTTTGCCAAAAAAAAAAAAGGTTCTTACCGGTAAAATTGATTTAATTCGTCTTTTTTGACAGTTTTTAACCGCATTAGTATAGAAAATAATTATTTGATTCATCCAAAATTTTCAGTGGAGTTTCCTTAATTTGTTCTTGTTTTGTCCAGTTTACATTGATTAATGTTCGATATGTTAAAATGGCTATTGTTAGCTAATATTCATCAATGACACATTTGTACGTGTAGCTCATCCTCTTAACAAACAGAAATGTCATTTTTCTTTGTCTTTCTTGTGTCATGACTAAACAGTAAAGGATTGTTCGCAGATTTAAAATTTGAATTGTTTAATATCATCAATCCTACGCTGTCTATATTAGTATCATTACTTCTGGTATCTACTCTGTTTATGAATGATGTTCTGAAAGTGACTACGGCACTGCATTCATCGGTGAGCTTTGGCTTTTTTTTTTTAAGACAAGACAAGTCCAAATGTGGATATTCGTTAACATGATCATGGAAATCAATGTTTGATTACTCAATAAAAAACCGAACAAGTCAGTCAAATTGCCTTTCAGAGTGTCTTGAAAGTCTCACGTGTATCGAGGGAGTTTTATTACCAATACTAAACTTGAACGCGTTCAATTGTCCTTCTTTTATATTGACTGACTTCAGCTTCAAAAATCCATTGCCAAGTTTAATTTTCAGTCAAATGTTTAAGACTTCTTAAATTTTTGTCATTACCACGCGGAAGGAGTCTTTGAGTAGAGTGCAATTTAATTTCAAACTTCGAAACTTGTCCTTCATTTGGGCTTTATTTGATTCTTGACAAATTTCCGTCTTTGAGCCCCACAGATCCGTCCTGGTCTTCAAATTGAATTATTTCAGTTCCTAATTCTAATGAATAATAAGTATCAGTAACAAAACATTAAAACTTTGATTCTTTGCTCTTGTGGTAGAAAGGGGTCACGCAAAGCAGAAAATGCGCAAACAACACATGTTAAAAAATGTGGATCAGTGCTTCGGGTTTTTAAAATGCCATTTCTTTCAGTTAAAGTAGAAAACATTTTCTCGATGATTACATGATATAGCGACTTTTGTGGAAGTTGTGTTAATTTAACTTCAAATATTCCCGACCCTGTCCACTAGTACATGTATAGCAGAGCTTGTA